CAGGCTACTGCTAGATCAGCAGGTCAGCGGTTCAAATCTCACCGGCTCAGGGTNTTTTTGAAACCTACCACTGCTAGCTAACCAGAATCGCACGTGTTTGGTGATTCTGCTTCACCATTAAACCATCTTTCCAATCAGCCTCCATGTTTCCAGTGTCTTTCTCCCCACTTGGAACTGAACCAGATGGATATTTCTTCCAACAGAACAAATAAAAGTCATCCTGCATCCATAGAAGAAGAGGTTAATTTACATTTATACTTACAACTGCTATAAAGAAAAACAGAAGCTACTACTCTGTATATTTTTTCTATTTTTCTTTTACTGTTGTCTTTCTTTCATCATTAACTTTCTCTTTCAATTATTTTCTTCTTCTTCTTACTTTACATTACTTTGTACTAATTTTTAGTACCTTTTTAAAAAACTAATCAAAATTATATATAAAAAGAAATATTTATGACAAGTAGCAGTTATTATTACTTAAAACAATTATCATTACACTGTCATTGTGGCAAATAGCAAAAGGTATGTATGCAACTTAAAAATATTGACATTAAAGTCTACTGTATTATACAGAACAGTTTATTGTTCATGTTCTTAAATTATTGATTTTATCTCTAGCTTCTACAGCAAAAATCATTTACTATCAAGAATAATGCTGAGAAAAATATCCAGATGGAAACCTGTGGTGCCACTGAAAGCACTGCTGAGTTCCCCTGCTGTCCAACCAACAGACAGACTTAATAACTGAATTTCCACTGATAATCGCTGTGATAGGATATCAATAATCTGGAAAATAATCCCTGGCAGGGAATAGAATAAGCCATTCTACATCCCAGCAGTGTTTCAAACACACTGGTTCTCTGCTGTTGATAAATGGGAATCCAGTGATCTACTATAGGAACCACAGAACTCCAGATGTTGCAACTCTCAGCATGCCTCATGCACAAGTAGGTAATGCTAAAGGATTCTGTGAGCTGTAGTTTAGCTGTAATACCAGGAGAGTCTCCTGCTGACTATCCTTTGTAACTAAATCATCCCTAGTATGTTACCATTTTGCACTGCTCTTGAGACTAACCAAGGAGCAGGTCAAAAGATGGGTGTGACTTATAATTAAAGTCCCATACTTTTTAATGTGATTTAAGGCTTCAGTCATGTCCAACATCTTGATCTTTGCAAAATCCTGTGGACACAATCTGAGTGTCCTTTAATCAAGGTTTGAGGCTTTCCAAAAACCTTATACATTATATGAAACCAAGAGAAACCATTATTTTACATAGGATAGACTTATTTTAAAACTTACTATTGGTATGCTATTAAATTTGTATATCATCCAACTCCATGCAATAATGGGATGTTCACAAGTTAAGAAAAACACAAAATAAACCATCAACAGTAAAAACAAGGAACAAAAAAATATATCGAAGGAGGTGGGTGACTTGAGCGACGCTAGATGAGACAAGGCAGCTGGTTTATTCCCCGGCTATCGTAGTCTCTTTAGGCACCCGCCCTCCTCTACTCCAGTGGAGCATGTTACTGGCCGCTCCTGGCGTTTTTTGACATCGGTGCCTTGTTTCTTTTGGATTCTTTTGGACTCTGTTGGCTGGCTTATAGAGGGGTAGTNCCTGCTGAATACCACCTCTGATTAGTACATTATGATATATAATATTCACTGTCAAATACAATAACTAAAATGTCCTATTGTACCATGTGCAAATCAATATTTGCAAATATGGATGTACAACACCATTTTATTTTTGTTCTCTCTTTACCAAGAGATCTTTATACTCTAGTTATGTTCTGTCAAGTTGATAGAAAATCAATAGATTCATATTTACACAAATGAAGAAAGCATCCTTTTTTTACTTCTCAATACAACAATAATATTTTGGACTTTTGGTCCCACTGTGTTTGTACAGAAAATAAATAAGTGATTATGTTGTTTCAGATGCCAGAATAATGCTTCATTAAAACACATAGTTTCTAAAATTATGTTCTATGCAGTATTAGTTTGACTGTAAGACAAAGTTTAATATTTTTGGATCATTCTTTCGAACTACTTATTTACTACTGGAAGTTGATAGTTGGACAATAGAAATTGATTCTCTTATAATTATTGCTAAGAGATTGATTTTTCACTTTTGAAAAGACAAATTTATGATCCCAGTTACCTAGTTCCAGAAGACCTAATGATAACTGCACCTTACAAACAAGTTGTCTGTAGATGTAGATTATGTATGGATAATTACAATGAAATATATATTTATGAAATTGATAATTAAAATAACACACACATACATATCCCACACCACAGACACACACATATACACACTCATATGTACAATTTATGTTATTACTTCCTTGAGGTAATTTTTTTATTTTAAATAATAAGAAAAAAATCCTTATCGCTTTGACAGAAAACTGATTCTATTGTCCTGCAATTGGACAGCAACGAAAACAGAGAAGCCATGGTAACATAACATAAAATTTTATGCAGCCCATTTATTAACTGTCAGTACAAGAACAATCTAGTAGCAACAACAGATACCACTCAGAATCTATGTCACGCATCTCAAACTCATGTGACATTTCGCAACTTTTTCTCATTCAGAGCTGGGGTGGGCGTGGCCTATGTATCTGGCCCGCAGGCTGCCAGTTTGACACCCTTGATACGTGATTGCACCAGATGTAAGTTAAAAAAACCACTCATCAATTTTGGGTAATTTTATTACAAATTACTAATTATGATGTTGAGGGTACCAAATATAGTGACCGTGAGGACAGTTTGCTGATAGTACAGAAACTGGCAGAGTTTACAGCACCTACTGGTATGTTATAAGTTCCAAACAGATTAGTAGCACGAAGAACAAGAGGCATTTGTACACCAACTTTTCCAAACAAATCCTTGTAACATTTTGTTAAGTATTTCAAGATTATTAGTCTGGAGACAAATAGTAATAGCAAATAATATTCTATCTTTACATATGATTCTTAAGTGCATATAGTTCATTTAGTGCCTGTTCAAAGTTACAGGAGACCTGGAAAAAGTGACTTGTGACTGTTTTTCACACTTACAACTATTATGATACTTTCATGGTCATCTGATCAAAATTCAGACGCTTGGCAATGGACTCATTTGTGATAGTTGCGGTGTCCTGGGATCATGTTATCATTTTTTTCACCTTCTGACAAAGTCAACATGGAAGCCGGATTCACTTAACAACCATGTTACTAACAACTGCAGTGATTCACTTAACATAAAATGGGGCAAAACTCACTTAACAACTGTCTTAGCAACATAAATTTTGGGCTTTATTATTGCCTCCTATCTAATGCAGGACTTCCTGCACTAGATAGTGCAGGCAAGAGAAACTATCTGATGAGTCTGGAAGTAGATAGCAAAACCCAGGTTGTCATCTATTTTATGGTGCAAGAATCAATATGTGGGTACAATAAAGGCAATTTACTCCTCTCTCTGAACTGGGCCCCAGCATCAGCATCTGCTAACAATGTTAAATGGCATTAGAGTTAGATAAAACAGTAATACTTAAGTCAAACCTAAGGTTTTTTATTCCATAAATATGGTTAATCAGCTGAGATCATTTTTAAAAGGATTAAGAAATACAAGTAGTCCTCAACTTACAATTCATTTAGTGACTGTTCCAAGTTATGTCATTGAAAAAAGTGACATGACCATTTTTCACACATGACTATTACAGTATCTCCAGTCACATGATCAAAATTCAGATGCTTGGCAACTGACTCATATTTATGACTGTTCCTGTGTCCCAAGGTTATGTGATAATTTTCTGTGACCTTCTGACAAGCAAAGTCAATGGGAAAACCAGTTTCATTTAACAACCATGTTACTAATTTACCAACTTAACAACTGTGGCAAGAAAAGTAATAGAATGGGGCAAAAGTCATTTAACAAATGTTTCACTTAGCAATAGAAATGTTGGGCTCAATTGTGGTTGTAAATTGAGAACTATCTATAATTTCACCAGGTAAAGCAGCACTTTATAATATTGTGAAGACTAGGTGAGATTTTCCTCTTGTGCCCAGCTACAGTAGAAACTTTCCTAGAAACGACTGGCTGACCACTTTAGCAAAAAGGATTCTAGACCAGCTAGGCTTTTGTCTGATTCAACAGTTTATTTACTTTTTCTCACAAAAGCTCTTACCATGCAAAAAGCATCTTTCAAATGATCTTCCATATTTTTTAAAAAGCTACACATTTTCAGCTGTTTAAAAGAGCAATTGCATGTCAGCCTGGGTCATTCTGCCTCTCACTGGTCTTCCATCAACTGATATAGCAAAATATTGCCTCCAACATTGATAACCTTCCAATTAATATAATTAAGCTAATATAGGTAGTTCTTGATTTACAATAACTGAGCCCAGAACTTCTGTTGCTAAGTGAATAATTTGTTAAGCGAGTTTTGCCCCACATTACGACTTTTCTTGCCGCATTTGTGAAGTAAATCACTGCAGTTCTTAAGCTAAACAACACGGTTGTTAAGTGGATCTGGTTTACATGACCTTGAGACACTGCAACTACCATCTACATATGAATCAGTTGCCAAGCATCCAAGTTCTGATCACGCGCGAAAAGCGGTCATAAGTCCCATTTCTCAGTGCCGTTGTAGCTTCGAATGGTCACTACATGAACTTTTGTAAGTCGAGGACTACCTGTAAAAAAGAAACCTCCAAGGGGAACAGAGGTAATAAACACTACGAATCAGGTCACTTTAAACTTCCTGCTCTATTTCTGCCTCCGCCCTTTCAGGCTCATCCTTCCTCGCGCTCGGGTCACGCAAAAGGCCTCCGGCCTTTCCAAGCGCAGGGCATTAAAGCGCAGGCGCGTCGGCCGGGCCGCCGTCCTCCGAAACAATACTTTGCTTATGCGCAATTGGAACGGCCGCCTCTTCCATTTCCCGTCCGGCGTGACGATGCGTTGTTCTGTTCCTTCCGGGTCACGTACCTCCCCGGCGTTTGGGGCCTCCGACGTCTGGGCTTCGAGGAGCCTCCTGAGAACCGCCGGGCCGGGCCGATGTTGAGGCGTCTCTGCTGCCCGGGAGGTTGAAGGGCGGCCGCGGAGCGAAGGGGGAAGGGCCGAAGGGGACCTTCGGTGGCCAATGCTGGGCCGCCGTTCGCCATGGAGAAGATCTTGGAAGGGTTGGTGAGCTCGTCCTACCCGCTGCCGGTGAAACGTATGATCGTCAAGCGCGTGGTGGAGTCGGCCGAGTCGCCGCTGAGCGGGCCGCAGTGTCAGGCCATGTTCGCCCTCAGCACCCGCCTCATCCTGCAGGGCCCCGACCAGTTCCAGCGCCAGGTCGGGCGGCAGGTCCTCGAGGCCTACGCTCTTCACCACCGCGACGACTTCGAGGCCTTCTTCACGCGCGACCTGGTCCTGGCTTTGCTTCACGGGGCAGGAGGAGGAGGAAGCCCCGCGTCCCCTCTCTTCCTCGCCCCTGCTCCGTTGCCCGCGCCCGGCCTTGGCTCCCACTTGGACCCCGGCGTCTTAGACTACATCCAGACCGGCCTGCGGCTTCTCATTAGCTGCCCGGCGGTGCTGGAGCTGTTCGCTCTGCTGCAAAGGGAAGCGTTGCGCCTGGTGAGCGAGAGGCCTCCGGCTCCTCTTTGCGCTCGCCTTTGCCAGCTGCTGAGCGACTTTCCTCAGTGTCTGCCCCGCGGTAGGAAACTCGCCCTCGTCTTTTGCCAGCAGTTGGTACGCAGCATTGCTCACTTCCAGACCCAAAGCACCCGGGAAGCTGCTCTACGCCTCTATGTCTCCCAAGTCACCCAAGTCAGCAATCTGCTGCGCGGCATCTGGAAAGCGGAACCCGATACGCTGCTGCCTTCCTTGCAGGAGCTCTTTGCCATCATCTCTTCCACCGGTAGGCTCGCCTTTTCCTCATGTCTTTTTGTTTTATTTTTTTTATTTATTTGTTTCGTCGAGCATGTATTAGACAACATGTATGTATGTATGTATGTATGTATGTATGTATGTATGTATAAACATGATTTTGGGTACATGAAATGGATACGAATAAAAAGGAACATTAGGACAGGGATGGTAGTGCTTATGCACTCCCATTACAGACATCTTAGGAATGGAGTGAGGTGACTTTTAAGACTTGTGGACTTCAACTCCCAGAATTCCCCAGCCAACCATTGCTGGGGAATTCTGGGAGTTGAAGTCCACAAGTCTTAAAGTTACCAAGTTTAGACACCCTTGGTCTAAGGTTAAAGTTTTGGGGGTTTGGGAAAGAAACCACAGAGGTAGTGCATTCCAGGCATTGACCACTCTGTTGCAGAATCTAATCTGTTGAATCTAATCCCGTTGGGATTCTGTAAGTAAAAAAAGAAGAAGCTGAGGAATATCAAGAGAGGGGAAAGGCATTCCAGCCAACCCCAGAAAGGCTAGGAACAAGACTGATGTTGAAGGTGGAGCAGAAAGCTGGTTAAGGCTTCCGCATCTTGTTTGCAAAAATCTGGATGGCAGCACAGAGATGCTGAAAGCTGAAATCCTTTGCTGCTTTCTAGTGGTCTCTGGATTTTTGCAACTCAAGATATGTTAGACCTGTCTTTGGTTGCTTTTTTAAAAATGTCAACTAAATATTGGGGAACGGAACCTTCTCTTTACTGCTAATAGGGTTCTGATTAACACAGTACTTGTGTTAATATCTGATTAGAGCAAAGTTCCTAAAGTTTCAAAAAATGTAGGTAAAACATTGATTAAATTATTTAGCATTTGTATTGGTTAAAAGGACTGGGGACTAGATTTTAGAAGTTCTTGGAGGGGAAGTAGGAACAATTGAACGTAAATATTTTTGAGAGTATTAGATTAACAAGGTATATATTTTTATTCCTATATGTCATGACTTCCTTGATTTGTGATGGTTATATTATAATATAATTCAGGCACATCTTGGAGATCAGATGGATTCTAATTTGATGAGAAAGAGAGAAGCCTGTTTATATATTTTTTTAAAAACTTTTAAGTCACTTAGTTATAGTATTATTAATGATATAGTTAATTTTAAACATCATTGAGTGCATTTTTGGGCTGTCTGCATAGCTTTTAATGACTGNTGTATGTATGTATGTATGTATGTATAAACATGATTTTGGGTACATGAAATGGATACGAATAAAAAGGAACATTAGGACAGGGATGGTAGTGCTTATGCACTCCCATTACAGACATCTTAGGAATGGAGTGAGGTGACTTTTAAGACTTGTGGACTTCAACTCCCAGAATTCCCCAGCCAACCATTGCTGGGGAATTCTGGGAGTTGAAGTCCACAAGTCTTAAAGTTACCAAGTTTAGACACCCTTGGTCTAAGGTTAAAGTTTTGGGGGTTTGGGAAAGAAACCACAGAGGTAGTGCATTCCAGGCATTGACCACTCTGTTGCAGAATCTAATCTGTTGAATCTAATCCCGTTGGGATTCTGTAAGTAAAAAAAGAAGAAGCTGAGGAATATCAAGAGAGGGGAAAGGCATTCCAGCCAACCCCAGAAAGGCTAGGAACAAGACTGATGTTGAAGGTGGAGCAGAAAGCTGGTTAAGGCTTCCGCATCTTGTTTGCAAAAATCTGGATGGCAGCACAGAGATGCTGAAAGCTGAAATCCTTTGCTGCTTTCTAGTGGTCTCTGGATTTTTGCAACTCAAGATATGTTAGACCTGTCTTTGGTTGCTTTTTTAAAAATGTCAACTAAATATTGGGGAACGGAACCTTCTCTTTACTGCTAATAGGGTTCTGATTAACACAGTACTTGTGTTAATATCTGATTAGAGCAAAGTTCCTAAAGTTTCAAAAAATGTAGGTAAAACATTGATTAAATTATTTAGCATTTGTATTGGTTAAAAGGACTGGGGACTAGATTTTAGAAGTTCTTGGAGGGGAAGTAGGAACAATTGAACGTAAATATTTTTGAGAGTATTAGATTAACAAGGTATATATTTTTATTCCTATATGTCATGACTTCCTTGATTTGTGATGGTTATATTATAATATAATTCAGGCACATCTTGGAGATCAGATGGATTCTAATTTGATGAGAAAGAGAGAAGCCTGTTTATATATTTTTTAAAAAACTTTTAAGTCACTTAGTTATAGTATTATTAATGATATAGTTAATTTTAAACATCATTGAGTGCATTTTTGGGCTGTCTGCATAGCTTTTAATGACTGTTGGCTTTAAAGTGCGCTCATTTTTTCTAATGTAAGATTTTTAACACAAGTAAAAAGTTTTTAGTTGCAGTACCATAGAACTAGTTTAGTTTAATCAATTAAATATATTTACAAATATAATTAAATAATGTAGTTATTGCCATCCAACTGTGCTATATATGCTTTGGTACTAGCTGCATAGAGACAACTTGGGGCTTCTCCATTTTGGGTTTCTCTTGCAAAATAAATGATGACATGGTGTAATAGGTCTGTGTTGCTGTTTATCTGAGGTTGTACTTAACTACTTAGTTAAAAACTGCTTAGGACCAGTTGATTTTTACTAGGTCCTGATACATAAAACTGTACAACTCAAAGAGGGTGTACTTTCTTTTTCACGTGACTGAATTTGAACTGTAGCATTTGCTACAAACAGAATAATTGATGCTGAAGCTGGTGTCCTTTTTATAGTAGCATCACATTAATGAATGATACATCTATATGAGTGTAAGACAAATAATTTACATACAAAATGTAAATAAGAAATTCTATGAGTTGTATTATTCAAAAAACTATTTTTATTTTGCCTTTATATTGTTTTTATAAATAATTCAAGATGATAGTTACACATAATATTCCTTCCTCCTATTTTGCCACAACAAGCATATGAGGTGGTTTGGATAGAAAGAGAATGATTGGCCCAAACTGGCTTTCATGCCTAAGGACTAGAACTCAGTTTCTAGCCTGGTGCCAAACTACCGAACTATATTATATCCAGACTACCTGTGAGCTGAACTATGATATAGGAAAGCTCCATTAGAGGAAAGCAAAGAGCTGATTTTTCGAGTGATCTTGTACTTTCCTTAGCTTTTCTCTAAATGAAAATAGGAAGCAATGCTCAAATACTATCTTTTATCCTTCCAGCCACGAGCTTCCACTGAATATCACTACTTTTGGGTTTAAAGGGAGTCTGAGAGCTTTGAATTGGTTCAGAATATGGTTAAACTTGAAACATAGCCTTTAAAATTGATTCAAATCTAAATGGAAAAAAGCAGAAATAATATAATTTCTTATATGTTTGGCAATTATAGATACTTCTGAACCTTCGGTTGCTTTGGCAAGTCTTGTGCAGCATATCCCTTTACAAATGATTACAGTCCTGATTGGAAGCCTTACCACAGATCCAAATGTAAAAGATGCAAGTATGACACAAGCTTTATGCAGGTATAGTATTCAGTCTGGCAAAAGAGTACTTGTTTACTTAATTAAGCATCTTGTTTATTACATGCATTTTAAAGGGAAGTTTATTATTTCAATTTATATCACTGCTTATCTCAACTTCATGACTCTAGATAGTGTACAGTACTGAAACCACAGCAAACAAACAAAACAAAAAATTACCAACAATTTACATTGGTAAGCCAGGTAAAAACAAGGACAGATTAACATAACTATTGTATGGACTACTGCCTACTGTCACAAAGCATAGATGTCACAACAGAAAGGCTCTCAGGGCCCAACATATGGCAATCCCCTACTAAACAGACCTCAACCATGCCTCTTCTGCCAGATTTAATAGCACAAATATACACAATCAGGCGGAGGCAATTCCTCAGATAACCAAGTCCATTCTAGTTAATATGCAGATTAAAACTGCATATGTATGAACATGATGTTACTGTGTTGTATTTGTATTTGTATTGGAATGGAATACTTTATTTGGCCAAGTGTAACTAGAAAGAGAAGGAATTTGTGTCCAGTATAATAACACTCCGTGAACTTGCCAGCAATGGAGAGAATAATAATATAATACCAATAAAATGGGGAAATGAAGATAATGAAAAGGATAAATAATATTTCATGGTTTAATATGCATACACATTAGACAGAAAATGCAAGAACCAGGTGTTTAACAGAGTGATGGCATGAGGGGAAAAACTGTCTCTGTATTTAGTTGTCCTGGCATATAGTCTATAGGACCATCCCAAGGTGAAATAGTTTATGTCCAGGATATGAGATTCTTGCAGATATAATCTCAGTCCTCCTCCTGACTGCAATTATTCCTTCTGCAGTGTTGACTATCTGTTGATGTCTGTACCTGTCCTGTTTGGTTGTTGTACTAAACCAGAGAATTATAGAAGTACAAATAATAGACTCAATCATTCCTCTGTAAAGCTATATCAGCAGCTTCTGGGACAGTCTGAACTTTCTGAGTCGATGCAGAAGAACATTATTTGTTGTGCTTCTTTAATGATGGTTCTAATATTAAATATCCATTGCAAATCTTATAAAATTATCAAAAACTGAAGGACTCTACTGCTGATACTCCTCTGTTGAATATAGTAAGAGGCAGTAAAATAGAAGGACTCTTCCTAAAATCTGCTCTTTATTTCTACAGTTTTAAGCATGTTCAGCTCCAGAATGATGCAGCTGCACCACAGCCAAATAAAATTCCTTTTGCATTAATTAATTAAGACAGCTTAAATTGGCCATGTAGCAGGCTAGCTCTAAATAAGAAATTAGTTTATATTTTTCCTTCCTATCATTTCTTCAAAAATAAAAGTACAATAACTTAGTTATTTTCCATTAGCTTACAAGTAATTAAAAAGTGCTGACTGTATGGTAATCTATTTTATATGGGAATACTTTTTCTGAGATCATAAAAACTCACTGCAACAAATATGCCTATATGTTTTAATTGCTGTAGACTACAAAGTCCACGCATGGTTTAGGAAAATAGTGCCATTTCATTAGAAATTGGGATAGTTTTGCAGCTGGATTGTAATTAACAAAAGGAACAGTAATGAAAAATTGAGTATTCTTAGAAAATGTTTGTGTTTCATAGCAATTTCAAACCTTTTTTGAATTCCTCTACTAGATATGTGAAAAGTTTAGAACTACCGTACTTTTTCTCACTTTTTCTTTTAGACTTTTCCTTAGCCCTCTCTGGCATCTTTATTTGATTAGCCACCTGTTTCCTTGGGATGTTTCATTTTACTTATTCTATGTTATCTAGGATCAGTAATGATAGACAATTCAGCTTTCCTAGAAACTAACCTAAAGTTAGGAAATGGGGGGAAAATCACCTTTTTAAAAATTAAATCATAAAACCTATATTTCCAACAAAAATCAACAGCACTTTTGGTTTCCAAAGAAAACTTAGTGGAGGTCTTGTGTAATTGCAGAATGTAGAATATTTATTGGGGGAGGGGGTGTTTACAAATCTGGAAGAAGTATTTTAAAGTGTACAAAAATGGTGAATATTGTGATTTAATAGCAAATCTAACTTTTTTATATATGGAATATCAAATTAATGCTATCAAGAATTTGTTTTTTGCTGTAATAGATGTTTTGGTGATGGATTGATGATAGTGTAAAGAACATATGTTGGCTTTGATAGTTTTGTTTATGTAATGTAATAAAACCAGGAGGGATTCAAACTGTTTATCTGCGTTGTGATGTTTATACAATTCCATAGAGCACTGCAAATGACAAAATATGTATTGCCTTGATGGAAACGAGACAAAATACTGAATTGTTGCTATAGCTTCCCTAGAGAAAAAACTATCTTGCAAAGTTTTTCCCCAGCCAGAGCATTTTAAAGTTCTGGCTGTGATCTATGACCGTCATATAATTGATATAATATGTAAACCAATACCAGAGTTAAGAAATTGAGTAACTGGGATATAGCTTTTGCAGCTGAAATACTAAAAAAGTCAAATTCATCACTTTTCAGGATGATTGACTGGTTGTCCTGGCCATTAGCTCAGCATGTAGAGACCTGGGTGATAGCATTACTGAAAGGACTGGCTGCAGTTCAGAAGTTTACTATCCTTATTGATGTTACTTTGCTTAAGATTGAATTGGTAAGTATTATTACTCAATTATTATTAGAATTTTAATTAATGTAATAAAATTGTAAACAGGTTGCTTTTTGTAGAAATTTTTAATTTTATTTATGCATTTTTAAATATATGCTATAGAATTATAATACTGCTGTACATTTCTTATTTTTAATAAATCTTCCTTTTCCTGAAAGGTATTTAATCGCCTTTGGTTTCCACTGGTGAGACCTGGTGCTTTGGCTGTCCTTTCTCATATGCTGCTCAGTTTTCAACATTCTCCAGAGGCTTTTCACTTGGTAAGTTTTATCTTTTTTTGTTTTAAAACTCATTTAAAAAGAAAATATCTATAAGCATGCCATCTTACTATTATATTAATAAAACCAAAACCACATTCCTACAACCTGAAAAAAAAGAATCATAATTTTGATTATATTAAAATTGATTCTTATCTTCCTCAATCTTAATGGTTTATGTCATATAACATAATTTAAAACAAAATCTAAGTAACAGTAGTTTAAAGAATTTGTTATTTATATAAAGATGTAAAATCTAGTAAGGAGAGAGATACTTTACAGAATTTTGTTGCTAATGTATATCTGGTTCTTAACCCTTTCTAAGAGAGTTGTATTTTACAATGGGTTGTATCTGATTATGTTACTCCAATGGCCAAAATGTCTTTGACTCTGTAGAAATTTTTTGCGTTCCTTCATGCAGTCCCTCCAATACACCTATCAACCTTATGGAATAGGAATGGCTCATGCAGAGTGAAAGTGAAATCATCAAAATTGATTCCTAGTTTGCTTCATTGAGGCTTCAACTGAATTTAAACAGTCTGTCATCAATGAACTTCGATGCAATTCATTGTATTTGTTACATTGCTACAGATGTCTATTATAAAGAATAACATGGGTTATAAATTAGCAACAGTGCAAATTAAACTAAAAATTATAGGAACTAACTATCAGAGTTGTACTCCGCTAATTCTAAAATGATTGAATATTCTTTTTAGCACTTTCGTAAGTTTTTTCCTTATTTGCTAGCAGAGATTGTAAAATTAATTTCAGGAAGAGCTCATAAAAATAGAATGTTTTATATGTTTGCAAAGTTACCATACTTTTTAAACATTACTAAGTGTTTTCATCACAGCATGTAGGGTAATAATGGACTAGTATTGGCTACCCTGATTTCTATCCCAATAGAATGTGAAATTATATTTCTTAACTTGCAGTTGCTCATTTAAAAAATATAGATAAAACTGAGGTGTTCAGGTAAATACATGTTTCCCTGAAAATAAGACCCAGTCTTATTTTCTTTTAGGCTTGAAAATAAGCACTCGGGCTTATTTTCAGGGAAGTCTTTGTTGTTATTGTTTTTTTACACGAGCACAGTTACCTCATAGCTGCTTGGCCCCTTAATCGCAGCCTGAGAAATCAGCTGAGCCAGAGAGGGCTGGAAACTGCCTCTTGTTCTGTCTCTCAGGGCGACTGGATATGTTTCCAGCACACTCTTGCCAGTCCCAGCCCTGCCAGCGGCACCAGGCAACCTCGCAGCTGAGTGTCCTTCTCTTCCGCAGCTCACCTTGTGGCTGTGGAGCAGGCAGCGACTACAGTTTGCGCTCCGCCAGGCCTTGCTCAGACTGCTGCTACGATGAGACAGAAGGCTGTGAGGCATGTCAGAATCGGCTCCCCTTCGGTCTCTTCCCCAACTGCTGGGCTTGCTGCAACTGCTGCTGCTGACTTCTCTCCTGCCTGGCTTGGGGAAATTTGGCCCAGATCTATAGATCCATCCAAATTGGGCAAATTGGGGGGGGTGTGTGTGTTCCAGCCTTTCCTCAAACCCAGCACACACATCCCAGGTTTGCAACATTGAAGGCTTTGGATGGAGCCTTTTGGGGATGTGCATCTGTGCTGGGCTTGAGGAAAGGTCGATCAGCAAAGAAACCCACCCACCCACCCCAATTTTCCTGCCCATCGTCCTTTCCTTGAGCCCAGCACAGACGCACATCCCAGGATTACAAGGCTGAAGACTTCGGATGAAGTCTTTTTTGGATGTATGTCTGTGCTGGGCTCGAGAAAAGGGCGATCTGCAGGAAAATCTCTTGCCCAGATGCCCTGTGCTGGTGGATGTTTGGCGTGGCCACAAGCAAGCCAAGAGACAGTGGGACAGAGTGGGCGGCGCATTGGGATCGCCTCTGGCTCCCCCATGCCTCTGCCTCCACCTGCTGCCGGTGCTACCACGCAAGCCTCTTGTAAGACTCCCATGAGGAAAAAGAGGGTTTAAAAAGCAAAGCAGTTCGCTGTGGAGCTGCTAGCTTCAGGAACTAAAAAGCAAAAGCCCCACACCCAGAAAAAGACGGGCAAAAGTCATGCTGCCAGCTTCACATGGTTTGCTCCATCATCCCTCAGTTGTGGAGCCTGGCCAGGAGGGCAGAGGGCGGAGCTGCACACAGTGCCCGCAAAACCTTTCCTACCTGTCAGGTTAACACGCAGCTCCTCACCTTCACTCTCACTCCCCCCCCCCGCTTGCAGAACCCTTACCACCTTCTCCCCACCTGGCCCTCTTGACTCTTTGACTTTGCTGCAGCCAGAAAGGAGGTCACGTTTCACTTTCAGCAGGCAGTGCTTTTCATCTTAAGGCGACTGTGCTTGAGGGGCGTAGGCAGCACTCTCCCCAGCCAGGCTTGTTGTGTGCCAGGCAATCTAACCCACCAACTCGCAGAACCAACAGAAGCATTGTGTTTCAATTCCTCAAGCTGCATTTTTGGCACATCAGAATTCTGAAAATATTCATCCTCTTCTGCACAAAGAGTTTATTACCAATAGTGAAGGCTTACAGAGAGTGGAGGAGCATGTGCCAGTTTCCTTTTCATGCCAAACTGCTTAAGGGCGCTAGTGGTGTGAAAGGAGAAAGAGAAAGCCTCTTGATTCCTGTGCATGTCTTTTCACTTTTCATTAAGTTTAAGTCTGGGGGGTGGAGCAGAGCTCTAATTTGAAGGTTGTTGGCAAATACACAACCTGTTTGGTGAAAGGTACGGTGATCGCTGCGTATTTTCAGGGCAGCGAGAAGACTTGGAAAGAGCTCCGCTACACACACACACACACACACACACACACACACACACACACACACACTTACACTTAGTGAAAAGTGAAAAGACACACAAGAATCAAGAGGCTTTCTCTCTTCTCCCACCCCCCAGTGCTACGCTACAACGCAGAGATTGGAACAGGCCCTCCCCCCGCTTCCTTCTGCAAAGGAGACAAATGCCTCCACCCTCGGAATTTGCATTATTTGCGTTGCCCCAAAGGGCTGTTGGGTTGCAGCTGGAAACTGTCACACACACACCACGGCACGCTCGCCGCCTCCCATGCTGGCCACGCCCATCCCCAGTCTTATTTTTGGAATAGGGTTTATATTACGCTCACCTCCAAAATCAGGCTCGGGGTTATTTTTGGGGTGGGTCTTATTTTCAGGGAAACATGGTAGGTGTTCAGATAAATAGAAATATTATAGTTAATTATTATGTTCTGACTTCATAATATAGCATATGTTTCGGAGTATAAGATGCACCAGAGTATAAAACGCACCAAGGTTTTGAAGAGGCAAATAAAAAAATAGTTTTTGCACTCTGCAAACCTCCCAAAAATGAGCCTGTTTTTTTTCTTCAAAAAAAAAAGGGGGGCATCAATAGCCCTTAGGAGGCTTGTAGAGTGTTCCGTGCGGGGGAGCAAAAAATGGCCCGTTTTTTGCAAAAACGGCTCTGTTTTTTGTCAAAGGGCATTAGGAAGCCTATAGAGTGCTGCTGGGAGGGGCGAAATTGAGCAAAAACGGCCCATTTTTTGCTCATTTCTGCTCTCCCCAGCCCCCAGGAGCTCTCTGAAAGCCTCCTACAAGCTATGCACCGCCATTTTGGTGAAGGGGCGGGGTTTCAGGAGGCAAAAAATGCTGTATTCAGTGTATAAGATGCAACCAGATTTTCAGCCTCTTTTGAGGGAAAAAGGTGCGTCTTATACTCTGAAAAATACAGTAGTGATTTTCTTTAAAATGTGTTTTGTTCAACAAGCAAGCCAATTATTATTCTATTTATCTTAAAATTAGATTGTTCCACATGTGGTTAAATTGGTAACATCGGTCAAAAGTAATGGTCTGCCTACCAGCACAACATTCTTACAACAGCTGAGTGAATTAATGCACTGTATGATGTACCATTACTCTGGATTCCCAGAACTTTATGAACCCATTCTAGAAGCAATAAAGGTATGCAAACAAAAATATTTCAGTACTGAAGCATGTAGATATTATTTTTATGCATAAAAATTGTATCAGCTATTTTCAGATTTCAGGAAAAAGTAATGAAAAACATTTAAATCAGCAGAGTAGAAGATAACACTGTCATTAATGTAAATCTTTTAAATAAGATCTTGAGTTTTATCCGTAAAAGAAAATGTATATTTTTACTTCAACATGGGAAGATTCATAGAAGTATTTCTTACCAGTTAATTATCAAAAAGAAAGTCATTTTAACTAATTCTTTGATATCAGAGATTGATGTTTAAACTAGCCCAAAGGTTGCAAGAATAGAAAAAAAAAGATTTTCACATTTTTCTTAGTAAGGGAATAGTGTTTTAGAAGATAATATGTATTTAGATATATATAATAAAGTTCCACAAGATGTCACACAATGTCTGTAAAGATGGATTGGTGAGCACTTAGCTTTGATCCTTGTTTTACACTGCTAAAAATAAAAATAGATCATAGTTGAACAAGATGGTTATAAGTTGGTGTCAATTTACAAAAAGGCACTTTACTTAACAGAGAAGTTATTAAGATTTGGAAGAGTGGAATATAGGCTGTTTGGCTACTCTTTTAGTAGATATAAATGTTATGGAAACACTTGCATAATACTCGCTGTTCAATATGTGTCTCTGTTTTCATTTCTAGGAGCTTTTCAAACCCAATGAAGAAAAAATTAAGATAATACTGAATCAGAGTGCCTGGACATCTCAGTCCAGCTCCTTGCAATCTTGTCTGTCTAGATTTTCTGGAAAATCTGAAACTGGAAAGACTGGTCTGATTAATTTAGGAAATACTTGTTACATGAACAGTGTGATTCAAGCATTATTCATGGCTACAGAGTAAGTTTAATCCTATTTGTTTTAAGGTCTGCAACTTTTATGTATGCAATGTTTTCTTTAAAAAAAAATACATGGCATTTTAAAATTTTAAGATCTAAACAGTCTCTACCGTACTGGCATTTCAAAGGCCCCTGAAGACATAGCTGTTGGTGATGACAACTGACACTTCCTTTTCCTTGTTACCATCTAGGATTGTTTTCTTTGCCATCTTTGTTTTTGTTTTGTTTTGTGTTCCTTGTTTTGTTCCTTGTTTTTAAATGTTTTGAACAATTTGTAAATGCCCAGAATTGCTGGGAGTTGAATGGCATATAAATTTCAGTTGTTATTATTTCTACTACTAGTTCTGTGATGGCTTGAATATGGTAGTAAGAATCTGAGTAAACAGCAAAATGTGTTTCCTTGCCTCAGTTCACATCATGATTAAAGAAACTGTAAATCACAATACATTTTTATTTGGTCATTGACCAGCAAATAAAACAAGAAAATTACAATTTTTTAGGGTGAAATATCAGGAATATATAGGTGGACAGCGGGGAGGTAGGCAGCAGTGCAGGAGGAGATGGTTGTGTGTGTGCAACCTAACTCTGTGCATGACCCCTGAGTTAATGAATTGCCAAACATATTTCTATAGTAGAAGGAAATTTAAAGGCATTCCTTCTGCATTATTTATAATTGGAGAAATTTACTAGAAGGCTTCCTTTCCCCCCTAAATTTCAAACCAAAGCAAAGTAATTCCCCAAAGTGATTAAATTGTTCTTCAAATATATGGCTTACATTAAGACTTAATTCAAGTTTGAGCAGTCTCATATTGATAATATGATTGGAAGCATAGTTAAATTATTTTAAATCAGCTTAGGAAACACTCTTAAAACATCGGAGTGTATTTGTATAAGTTTATCTGTATCTGAAAACATGATCTCATTTTTTGCAGTTTCAGAAGACATGTGTTATCATTAAATCTAAATGGGTGCAATTCACTAATGAGAAAATTGCAACATCTTTTTGCATTTCTTGCTCATACACAGGTCTGTATTATTTTCTGAAAATTAAAATAATATTGCAAAAAAGGGGGTTTGGCCTTATTTATGTATAGAATTAATTGTGGAATATTTGAATTTTTTATAAATCAGTAGACAATGCAGACCATTTTGTTTCATCTCTGAAATTTTGAAAGAAGAATTGGATACTTCTGGAAAAAGTGCAGACTGGTTGAAACTGGGCACTATACTGATACCATACTCGTAAAATTGTAAGATACTCTCATAAAACAGTAATTTTAAATTAGATATCACATCTTTTATTCAAACATAATCCCAACAAGATTATTATTATCCCATTAAGATGTTAGGATTAATGTCCAAAATTACTTTGGAAAAGGACATGAAACAATTCTCGTTGCACCTGAATACATAAAATTTCATTAGTTGTCTTTAATAATAACTTTATTTTTCCTGTATTTCAAATGTACTTTTTAATTCTAAATTAATATGCAAGATTGAATTTGAACGTGAAATTGGGAAGTAGATACTTAATATTTGGATTTATTCTACAGTCAGAACAGTTCATTTAATCCTTAGCTTTTCCACTATGTAACAGTATGTGAGAAAGGCTTTGAGAAGCGGGACAAAGAGATCATGTCTAGGGAACAATCAGATAAGAGGGTACATCCTGCAACTGCATAAACCTCCCTAACTTCTCAAGCTATAAATGAAATATGATTGGAAATTTGTACTTTTACATTTGCAAGATTCTGTTAATATAGCCTTACAATAAATTAGAAGTAGCTTGTGTGGTATGTTTCCTATCTGATGTACCTGGGAAGGCGGACATCTTGCCTCCTATTCACTTGATTTCTGTTTTTATAAATTATGAAGTGCTTTGTAGAATGATGTCAGTGTTTGAAATCTGTTTTGGCTTGTTTGTTTGTTTGTTTTATCTAGAGGGATGCCTATGCTCCTCGCCTTTTCTTTGAGGCATCTAGGCCTCCGTGGTTTACTTCTAGATCTCAGCAGGACTGCTCTGAATATCTTAGGTTCCTTCTAGACAGGTAATGATAATCTGAATTCATCATCCAAGATATTGTTTTTAAATACATTTTATATGCAGAATATGTTGTAGGAAATGCATTTCTTGTAACATTGTTGGGTAAGAACTATTTACGATAAACTTTTTCCACAGAGAGCTACAAAACCTGAAGCAGTCTTCCCAATCTTCAGGTACAAAAAATACAGTATCTTTGTAAAAACAACTATTACTTAAAAATAAAATAATTGAAATTTATATGGTCTGAAATAATATGCTTTGCTTTTGACGTGTGACATCTCAATCCCAGTCTCTTTCAATACAATCTTGGTTTTCAGTTACTGTTTACTAAAAACACTTTGAATCTCTGCAATGGAATGTTTCTCTGTCTAAAATTCATACATCAAACAGCTCAAACTTTACCCCAGTTAGAGCTGAACTAAAGTAAAATAACTGTTAGAATTAAAGCAATGGAGCAGAGTCTATTTGTAGTTGTGCCAATGGCATTCAAGCTACAGTATTTTATTCCACACTAATCTTGCCTAGTAAATAATTGGTTGTGTGTATAAGCATACTGAAACATGGTATTATATTTAATAGGTAAACTGGTGGAGAACAATATAACTTGAAAATAATTATTTTTTTCCCTAAGGCTACATGAAGAAGAGAGAACCTTGAAAGTTCTGTCTTCATCAAAGCTTCCTGAGGATATGAATGAAGAGTCCCTGGTCCAAGAAGTAGCCAGCAAATCTCAACTATTTATCAAGCAGTCATGTTCAATGAAAGAGGAGAGAACCTTGATAGAAAAAATGTTTCGAGGGAAACTACAAACAAGCATATGCTGTTTAAATTGCAAAAGTACTTCTCATAAAGAAGAAGCCTTCACAGATCTTTCACTTGCTTTTTGTCCGCCAGTATTCTTTAAAAACGTTGGTCCACCAACTGTAGAACATTCGTCTGATGAGAAAGATGACTCCATGGAACAAGTCAGTGCTAGGGCATTGAGCCCTGTGACAGAGATGCCATCCGGTGATTCCTGTGAAATGGTCACAAACGATGGGACTTTGAAAGATGCCCCCACTGACTCAAATTCTGAAAATGTTACTGATCCTTTTATCTGTAAGACTGAAGTTGGGGATAACTTGAAGAAACACGTCAATGAAGTTACTCCTTCAGTTACTGATTTGTTAAATTATTTTTTGGCACCTGAAGTTCTTAAAGGGGATAACAAATACTTTTGTGAAAAATGTGCTTCCTTACAAAATGCAGAAAAAATTATGCAAATTGTGGAGGAGCCAGAATACCTCATCCTTACTCTTTTGAGATTTTCATATGATCCCAAGTGTCATATTAGGCGTAAAATCCTAGACAATGTGTCTCTTCCGCTTGTTCTAGAATTACCTGTTAATAGAACTCTCTCATCCTTAAGTACATTGTCAGGCATTTGGTCTATGAGTGTTGAGTTTTCTGACACGGGGGAGAATTTGGCTAAAAAACTAAAGCCTTCTGGTGCTGAAGAAGTTGGCTGCCCTCAACTAATCCCTTATGTATTAAGTTCTGTAGTTGTTCACTCTGGCATATCTTCTGAAAGTGGACATTATTATTCTTATGCAAGAAATGTTGCTAATTCAAGGTCTTCGCTAGGATCTTTTGATCAGTCCCAAACTATGGCTTTAGCTTATCCTCAGAGCAATTTAACTGCAGCTACTGAAAAGGATCTGGATGAAAATGAAGTCTCAAAGGAATGGTTTCTATTTAATGACAGCAGAGTGACATTCACCTCATTTCAATCAGTCCAAAAAATTACAAGCAGATTCCCCAAAGATACTGCTTATGTGCTGTTTTACAAAAAACAAAACAGTGCTGGGACTATCAGTGCAAAATCAGCCAGTGGACTCTGGATCAACGGAGATCCCCCTCTGCAGAAAGAACTTATGGATGCAATTACAAAAGACAATAAGCTGTATTTGCAGGTAAGGTGATAGTAATCTGAAGGAAATCAGTTATGTAATTACTATAAATGTGGACTGTATAATATAAAGTTGGAATTACAAATCTAGGCAGATTATTCTGATTAACCAGAATTGTTCAGATAATGTTTTAGTATTCCCAGATTTCTGCAAAGTAAAAGCTTAAAATATTTTCTGAACTGAAGTACTATAAATCCATAATTTAGAATTCAGTTTGACAAAAAACTGTCCCAAAGGTTTAGGCTGATTTGAGAAGAATTTACTAAAGTGTTTGTATTTTTCAATATGCCAAATCTAAATAGCTTTCTAACTCAGCAGTATACTTCAATTATTTTAAAGAGCAGGAGTCAAGGTGGGGAATACCAGTTCTTGTCAGCTCTTGAACTTCTGTTGTTTAATGAATATTCTTGAAGTCAGGTTAATATATACCTCAGTATATTTTTATATAGTTGACCATTTCACATATGCAATTCTGGGTGACTCATACTAACTTTGAATAATTCTAACCAGAATTTTTTTTTTGAAAATTGCAATATTTGTATGGGATTTGAGCAAAGGCAAGAACCTAGCAATGTGATTTTATGTGTAGAGTTACTTGGTCATATTGATGAAATGATAAATAATCCATGATTTAGATATTTATGTGGATAGGCAGCAAAGTAGGAAACACAGGTAATTTGTAAAAGCAGTCATTTAATGGGTCAAATACATTTTTCAATTGGGTGTATTTTTGTCTGTACATACCAACTTATTCTCAAAAATTGCTTAGTCATTATCATCATCCTAAGGTCATATGCAGAGCATATTGGGCAGCGAGTGTTTTTCAGGTGTTTCGATCATTCACAGCATCTTTAGCATCATCCCAAGGGACATTAATAAACTTAAGAATTTCCTTAAATATTTGGTACCAAGTTTTCCAAGGCCAGCCTCGCTTCCTCTTTCCTTCAAGAGTTATTAAAATGGCTCTGTCCCGAATCCAAAAAAGCAAGTTTGGACATCCTGTGGTGACATCACCGTACTTGGAGCGGAGGGAAGGAAGCTCTCATAACCTCTAACTCTAACTTCTTTGTTTGGGCTCATTTTTGAGCACTGTTGATCCTGAAGGGGCCAGCAGATTAAGGGGGATACTCTGTAGACGCTGGGGTGATAAGGCAAATCCTCCTGCGGATAAGAGAAACCCCCTAAATGGACAAGGAACTATCCTGCCATTTGGTTAGGACCAGCGATGGAGACCGCATAAGAAGTTAGAGTT